TTAAACATACATGTTTTATTTAAATATAACATGCACTCCATTTGCAAATTAGTTTTTGTGTGTGTGTGAAGGGAGATTCGGCCATACCAATTTAGTGAGAGAAAGTGGTTTTATTTGATTCCATAATATCATTTTGTGTATAGAAAATATCTATAATATTTTTAAATATTATTAGAAATATTTTCTATAGAAATATACAAGATTATTATTATCCCAAATTTTAATCTTTATATTTTATACTACTATAATCTTTACTAGCATAAAGATTGTGGTAGACTCCGGCGTTGTTCGTGTGTCAAAGTTGGAGACCGGACGCTTGAACGGTTACGTTTGCACTTTCAACGCTCTTCCTACGACTTCTTCGTTTTTACTGCTTACCGAGAAAGGTATAAATTTCTTACTCACTATAAGTTTTAGTACGTGATTCTGGGCAAGATAATCATGTTAGGATGTTAAAATATTTATATTCCGCTGCCTATCCTTGCATGGTTACCTTTCAGTTAGTAGCACCGAAAAAAATATCGTCTACATAAACTTGAACCAAAAGGATGTTATTGTTTTTACTCTTGATAAAAAGTGTAGTGTCAACCTTTCCCCTTTGGAAACCACTATCCAAAAGAAATTTACTCAGACATTCGTACCAAACACGGGGTGCTTGTTTAAGACCGTAGAGCGCCTTCTTGAGTTTGAAGACATGGTTGGGAAATTCAAAGTCTTCAAACCCCGGGGGCTGGTCAACATACACTTCCTCTTGAATAAAACCATTGAGGAAGGCACTCTTAACATCCATCTGATAAAGTTTAAAATCCATAGACGAAGCAAAAGCAAGAAGTAAACATATAGCTTCTAAACGTGCTACGGGTGCATAAGTTTCTTCAAAATCAATGCATTCTTCCTGATTGTAGCCTTTAGCTACGAGCCTAGCTTTGTTTCTAGTTATTATTCCATTTTCATCAAGTTTATTACGAAACACCCATTTCGTACCAATAATCGTACGATCATCGGGCCTTGGAACCAATTCCCAAACGTCATTCCGTTTGAATTGGTTTAGCTCCTCTTGCATAGCCAAGGTCCAATGTTCGTCGTTTATTGCTTCGGAAATGGTTGTAGGTTCAATTTGAGAGACAAAAGCCATGTGTCCTACGATGTCTCTAAGTGAGTTACGAGTACTTACCCCGCGGTTGATGCTACCGATTACCCGGTCAAGCGGATGATTCTTGTTCGTTCTCCATGCAATGGGAAGCTCGGTTGCTTCTTCTTCGTGTTCCTCTTGTTCTTCTTCCTCCTCCTAATTTTCTTCTTCACCTTGGTTGGTTGCTTGAGGTGTCTCCCTAGTTTGCGGCTGTGTGTTGGTGTAAATTCATGTGTTCTCTTCGTCGTCTTTGACGTGTATTCTCTCTAGTGAATCTGCAAGATCATCACAAATATCCTTTCTCGCCAAGCGAGGATTATCTTCGGAAAATACAATGTGAGGGGACTCCTCAATAGTCAAGGTGCGTTTATTGAAAACTCTATAGGCCTTGCTACAAAGTGAGTAACCCAAAAAATTCCTTCATCCGACTTGGCATCAAATTTGCCTAAGTTATCTTTGCCATTGGTATGAATAAATGATTTGAAACCAAAGACTCGAAGATGGGAAAGGTTTGGCTTTCTCCCTTCGTATAATTCATAAGGCGTTTTCATGAGTATCGGTCAAATGACGGCTCGGTTTAACACGTAGCTCGCGGTACTCACGGCATCCGCCCAAAAATACTTAGGGATTTTTGCCTCATTAATCATAGTTCTAGCCATCTCTTCGAGACATCTATTTTTACGTTCCACCACTCCATTTTGTTTTGGTGTACGTGGGGCTGAGAAGTTATGATCAATGCCAAGTTCGTCACACAAATCTAAAAACAGATTTCGTTCGAACTCTCCCCCATGATCGCTTCTTATGGCAACTATGGTTCTGTCTTTTTCATTTTACACTTTCTTTAGAAAATTTTTGAAAACATGAAATGCCTCGCTTTTGTGAGTTAGAAACAAGGTCCATGTAAACCTAGAGTAGTCATCGACAATCACAAATGCAAAGTAATTACCACCAAAAATTTTCATTCTAGAAGGACCAAAGAGATCCATGTGCAAAAGTTGAAGCGGTCTAGACGTTGAAACAATGTTCTTGGACTTAAATAAAGCCCGAACTTGCTTCCCCTTGTGACATGCATCACATATGGTGTCTTTTTCAAACTTAAGTTTTGGAATGCCAATTACTAAGTCTTGTGAAACCAATTTGTTCAAAAGGTTCATGTTCATATGAGCTACCCTTCGGTGTCGTAACTAAGTGTCTTCCTCTTTACTCATGTGGCACTTAGCAAAGCCAGAAGGGGATTTGTCTAAGTTAACCATATAAATATTATCGATTCTATCACCACGTAAAATGACCTTATTGTCACTAAGGCGTTCTGCCGTGCATGATTTTGAGTCGAAGGTCACACAATTTCCCTTGTCACATAATTGACTTATGCTCAAGAGATTGTGTTTAAGACCTTTAACTAGCAAGACATTATCTATAGAGGAGTTTTCAGATTTACCTACCGAACTAATGCCGATAATCTTTCCCTTGCTATTGTCTCCAAAAATTACGTTTCCTTCTTTAGCGGGTTTGATTTGGAGAAACTTGGATGCCGCCTCAGTCATGTGCTTAGAGCATCCGCTATCGAGGTACCAAAGTACACTTGATGCCTTCAAGCATACATATGAAACACATCAATGAGTTTTAGGTACCTAATTTACGTTGGGTCCTCGTGTGTTAGGTGTGTGATGGTAGTGTGCTTGATTTTGTGATAGGTGCCTATGCCTAGTGTAACAGACGAGAGCAATATGGCCTATCGTATTACAATAATGGCAAACTACGTTGGGTTTGTACATGTGCCTAGGTTCATAATAGTTAGAGGGTTTAACCATTTTGTTCGTATTTTGTGAAAAAGATGGTCCTTGAAAGTTTTGAAATTGACCCTTTCTAGGTGCTCTAACAATATTTCTTCTATTTTGAGAAAAGTCAGTTTTATGCACAAAATCATTTTTCTTAGGTTGTCTACCATGAACATATTCATTTCTAGGTTTTAGTCTAGGTTGTCTAGTGTCCTTAGGTTGACTAGGTTTTCTATTATCCGGATTTTTAGGTTTCTTACGTTGAGCCTAGGTGGTTGTCTAGGTGGTGGCTCAACGTTTTCTTTAACCTTAGCTTCATTTTTATTAAAACCTATTCCTTCCTTAGAAAAATGCATAGTGTCAAGGAGCAAATTTAAATCTTTGTACTGAGTATTAAATTTCTTGACCGTGCTCTCAAGTTTAGTGACTTGTTCTTTTAAAGCTTTACAAGATTCACATTCACTTGAGGAACTTTCCGGTTTGTCAGCGCATCTTTTTCCAAAAAAAATTGTTTTCTTGTTTTAATTTTTCATTATCTTTTTCTAATTTTTCAAAATCGTTTTCAAGTGTAGAAAGACGTTTCTTTAAAGATTTATTCATTTTGGAAGCGCTAACAAATTCTTCATAAAGTTCATGAAGTGCTTCTTGCATTTCTTCAAAAGTATAAGAGTCGGAAGAAATGGTACATACCTCTTGGACGTCATCGTTTTGATCTTCGTGCGCCATGAGGCAAAGATTTGCAGCTTCGTCATCCTCTTGGTTGGTTGATTCGTCGCCAGAATCGCCACCCCAAGAGATGTAAGCCCTTTGCTTCTTGAAGCCAGGCTTGTCATTGTCGTGCTTGGCTTTTGGACACCTTGGCTTGATGTGGCCAATCTCGCCACAGCCGTAGCACTTGGGAGGACCGTCGTGCTTCCTTCCCTTCCGCTCAAATTCCTTCTTCATGAACTTGTGAAACTTCTTGATGACGACTCCAAACTCGTTGTCGTCATCGCTAGAAACCTCTTCCACCGGTTCCTTGGTGGCTTTGAGAGCTATCCCCTTTTTCTTTTGTTCATCCAGAGACGGGGTTAGAATAGTAGATTCATAGGTTTTAAGATTACCTCTTAGCCTGTCGATGGTGACATTGGAGACTCCAATAAGTTCATAGATTGCATCGGCTTTTGATCTCCATTCGAGGGTAAGGCTCCGCAGGATTTTTCTTACGAGATCCTTGTTGGTATATGTCTTCTTAAGAGCATGAAGATCGTTTATAATCTTTGAGAAACGATCAAACATGTCGTCGATTTTCTCACCTTCCTTCATTCGGAACATTTCATACTCTTGGGTGAGAAAATCGATCTTGGCTTCACGCACTTGATCGATACCTTCGTACGTCACTTCAAAGCTTGTCCCACATCTCCTTGGCGGTTGTGCAACAGGAAATCTTTCGGTAGTCGTCAGGGTTGACCGCACAATATAGCATATTGATGGCCTTTGCATAATTCTCAATCTTCTTGATGTCCTCGGCATCAAATTCGTCCTTGGTCACCAACCACAATTGGGAGTTGGTGGAACAAATATAGACTCTCATATGTTCCTTCCAATACGAGTAGTTGGTGCCATCAAAGAGCGGTGGCCTAGAGGTGGATTGCCCTTTGTCAATACCTGCGTACAAGTTTCTAGCACTACAAGAAATACCACTTTTAACTACGGACCCATTATGACGGGCAAAAAAAACTCTCATTAAAAATGCTTTTCATATGTTTTTTATGACGGGAATATACTCTTATTAAATATTTTAATTTTTTATGACCAAGTTATTTCCTGTTTAAACGCAGAGCCCTTATTCTACACTCATCCGGGATATCCAGCATGCACGATTATCTCCATCTCTCCCGATTCTAGCCATGGTACCAAATTCATCTCTATAACCTGCTTCTGAACTCTCACCGTCGACCCACCCAACAAGACTCCTAGGGCACGAATCCTTCTACAAGCAACATTGTTTGCATCAATTTGGAGTGTCGGCAATACCTCTAGGGTTCTATTTTGCATCAATCTCAATGTAACGGGAAGCAAATCAATATAGAGGTGCGATTTCTTTCCCAATTATTTTGATTTTTTGAATCTATTTCTAAAATGCATAGAGGTATAATCTCGTTCATAATCGCAATAAATAAACCAAACAAAGCGAACTCCTAGAGTCCTAGGGCTTTGTTTTTTAATTTTTGTATCATCATATCCCATTTGTTTCACTTTTTGTATAATTCTGTTTGAGCTTAAGAGTTTCTCTTACTGTGAGAAGATTGGCACACTATTTGTTGTTAAATTAGTGTTTTGATTTCTATTAATTTTTTGTACTGTTTTGAGTTCAGTTTTGTGTCTTGTTGCTCTATTTGATGTAGAGAAGACTACTGACACACTGTTTTTGATTGATTAATGTTTTGATTTCTTTTAATTTCTTGTAATGTTTTGTGTTTAGTTTCAAGTTCTGCTGCTCTGTTTGATGTAAATAAACTGAAAGGGAAATAAATTTGTTTTATAGGTGGAAATTTGTTTCTTGTCTTATAGGTTAAGTTTAAAGAAATGTTAGTGCAAGGGATGTGAGTTAGTTCTAAGATGTATTATGTATAATATGAACTCATAATTGAACATATGTACCTTTGAAATGTAATGGTCATAGTTAGAAACTTCCACCAATTAGTTGTTAAAATTAACATTTCATCTAATGAGTGTCAATTCTTTCAAAAAAAAAGAAAGTTTTGAAAGGGATATTCTCCATAGTTTCATTATATAGGTCTAAATTAAACACAAATTATTTCTCATTTGAAGAGATCAAAAGTTCGACCCAAAATTCTGCTATGTAATTTGTATTCACTTTATAACATTTGTTCTTAGCCACCTTGTTGCCCGTGTTTTAGCAATCTGGTATGCTTTCCCTAACCCATACCATGCTCGATAATCGAATGGACTTATGTCCACGACCCTCCTATATGCATCAATTGCTGCTTGGATGTTTTTATTTTCTATATACTCATGACCCATTAGCGTCCATGCTAACAAATAATTTTTATTCAATTTTAGAGCCCTTTGAAAATACAGGACAGACTTCTCATGCTGCCCCTTCAATCTGTAGTAGTTTCCAATAAAGCAACAGGACTCTAGCATGTATTTCTCTATCAAAATCACCTGGTGGGCAATGTAGCTTAAAGCAGAAGAGCATTTCTTAACATATAGCACATTGGAATACATATCCACATAATCAATTCGGTATGGATCATTTCTTAAAGCTCTTCAAATATTACTCTAACTTCATCAAACTGCCATAGGCTATACTAAATTTTAGCAGTCTGAGCGTGGATGTATTTGCTAAAACTAAAAGTTCCTTGAGCCCAATGGGTGTCTTTTTTTCCATGGCATAATAACTTTAGTCAATTTTGTAGAATAAGTGATGTATAGTTCGAAATGGATCTCTATATTGGTAAGATTGACATATAACACATTTGATAATCCTCTTTTTACTTCATTCTTTTTTACTCCATATATTTTTATTTGTTTTCAGTGTTGATTTCATAAGAAGTTTGTTATGTTGTCAATAGGCTACCTCACTCAGATTCAATATAAGGGGACTAACTCCAACAAAATAGGTAGGCAACCTCAAAGAAGTTGTTGCAAACAGATAAAAGAATTGTTGGCAACCTCAAGTTTCTTTAATTTACTTCTCTCTCTTCAAAGTTTGATATGGTCCAATGAGCATCATTTTCTACAGAGAGTAATTAGGTTATACTCCATATTAGACTGAACAATGTTGCGCTTCTATGTTTTAGTACTCTATTTGTGATGTGCAAGATAGCAGCAGTTTAGATTCAATCTTATAAGTGTAGAGCAGCATTTCATTACAGTTTCTTATATACTGAAGGTAGTTAAATCAAAATGGATCTCTAAACTGTTTGCGCTTCTTTAATTAATGAAGTAGCAGTTAGTTAAGCAATGCAACTTTCGATGTTGAGCCGGGGGTCTCTTTGGAAACAGCCTCTCTACTTTCGAGTAGGGGTAAGGTCTGCGTACACACACCCTCCCCAGACCCTGCTCTTGTGGGATTTAACTGGGTTGTTGTTGTTGTATATACTGAAGGTAGTTTCTTTCAGGCTTTTTTGGTTTTGCTTATATACTTTTTTCTTTGTTATTGCTGGCCTATATTGGTTTTGTAGTTGGTTTCTAAGGATTTCCATTACACCTTTAGAGGGTTTAATGTATGATTTTAGTTGGACTTTCATTGTTGATCATACTTAGAGCCTGTTATTGGCTATGAGATTGCTTTTAAATGGTCTGTACATTATCAACTATCAATAGATGTTTGAATTTACATATGCTTGGGCCTGGTGTGGATCAGATCAGAAATGTAGATTGGTTTTATATTTCAGCTCAAGAATTTGGTTTGCTATTGTATTATAACATTGACTAAGGTAGCATATGAAAGAAGGAAGCAAACTACCAATGGTGGCAAAATAATCAAATAGGGGATTGGTGACTTCGGGCTGTCGCTTCAAGTATTGTCTGTGTCTTGATGCATACAAAGAATTTTTTGCTCAGCTGATTCTTTGAGGTTTTGGCTCTCTCATTGGTTTGTTAAGACAAGGTTGCATATGTTTGGTTGTTTGGTAATTTTTGGTTATATGTATGTATTGCAGGTTGTGGTTTGGCAAATGTAGAATTAATGTTCATTGCTTTATTGGAGTTGATGCAGAATAGTAGCCTTCATAGCGGAGGACCAAACAATGCTGAAGGTGTTGTGGTTATGTACACGCTCGACATTTGCTAGAATGTGAATAATATGGATTTTTGCTTTTAGGTTACAATTATGTTAGCTTTTACTTTTAGTTTGTATTTTTAGGCTTCTTTTTTGTCCGAAGGGCTTTGGTTTGGTCCTCCCCTCTTGTACTTTTCTTGACATCCATTTTTAATAAATGCTTCATCCTATATATATATATATATATATATATATATATATATATATATATATATATATATATATATATATATATATATATATTTTAATCCTGAAAAACTTCACCACTAAGGGTGTGATAGAGCCCAGGGACGCTCTATCTTATTAAATTAAAGATTAAAAACAAAGTACAAACGGAGAGGGTGGAATAAACCCAAACAATGCCCAACAACGCTAAAAATAAAATAAAGGCATGATATCCTGCCCCTAATGAGCCAGGAAAGTGAAATGAAAAGAGTTACAAGAACATCAAGTTATCCAAATCATCCTCAAACTCCTCAAAATTCTTGGGATCTACTAAATTCTTCGCTTTGACCGCTAAGTGTGCTATTTCCTCCGCTTGAGCCTGTTTGAGTTTCATCTTTGCCTTCTTTTTCTGTTTTTTGCTAAGCTTCACTTGAGATTCCGAGGTTGGAGTAAAGCTTTGGATATTCTTCGTTCTGATTGACAGACAGCTCCTCTTGAAAGCGGAGCGGATGCCTTCTANTGAAATGAAAAGAGTTACAAGAACATCAAGTTATCCAAATCATCCTCAAACTCCTCAAAATTCTTGGGATCTACTAAATTCTTCGCTTTGACCGCTAAGTGTGCTATTTCCTCCGCTTGAGCCTGTTTGAGTTTCATCTTTGCCTTCTTTTTCTGTTTTTTGCTAAGCTTCACTTGAGATTCCGAGGTTGGAGTAAAGCTTTGGATATTCTTCGTTCTGATTGACAGACAGCTCTTCTTGAAAGCGGAGCGGATGCCTTCTACAAAAGATTCGCTTTCCTCATCAGATGCCTTCTACATCAGATATTATATATATATATATATATATATATATATATATATATATATATATATATATATATATATATATATATATATATATATATATATATATATATAAAATATAATATATATATATATATATAATATATATATAAAATATATATAATATATATATATATATATATAATATATATAAAATATATATAATATATATATATAATATATATATATATATATATATATATATATATTATATATAATATATATATATATATATATCTGTGTGTGTGTGTGAAACCGAATATTTAAATATAATATTAGATTCCAAAATATTTTATATTACTATTTTACAAATATACAAATTTTTTATCATCCCATTGTTTAACCCTACTCCTTAAATTGTTGAAAGTGTGTGACCTGTATAGACATTTATAAAGCTGGCCATAGTATTAGCTCTGCACCAATACCTTAACTAATAAGCGGTATTTAAGAACACATTATTGCCCCCAGATTATAAGTTAAGATGTTTGCAGTGTCAAAACCTTTCCATGACTCTGACTCCGTGTAACTGTATCCCTTGTCTTAATGTCTAGACTTAATGCAAGGGATTATAAAATTCTGCTTGTATCCATTAAGCCATTCACTGATTTATCAAGTGTGACTGATAGGAAGAGGCGTCATAAAAGCATCTCAACATGGCCTTGCAATTTCCTCAATCATAACTTATCAGTGGGCCTACAAGACATGAATCTCTTAATAAGAAATAGTGACAAATCATATGTACGTAATCTACTTATCTGAATACGCGCTTTGGCATACCCAAAACAAAGTCTGTATACCATTCTTATTTCATATGGTTTAGGACAATGTGTCAAAGCATGC